GGATATTTCTCACCAGTAAAATGAATTATATAGTCATCCTAAAATGATAACTAGGTTCAGATGAATGTGCTGATATAGCTGAACAGATACACTGTTATGCTACAGCACAGAGAATATCTTTCTCAGCATCTGCGTTGTTACGGAGATTTCATTCCCTGTGTGGAAGGATAACTGCTGAGAAATATGACCTCGCAATGAAAGAACATCAATGTGCAGTGTATGTAGCTGCAGCAGTGCATGGCAGCCTCCGCTTCTTTATTGCCACATCTACTAGAGCATTTATGTGGTATTGGTTTTCACCTAAATATTGGGGTTGTCTCCAGGTCCACCAGTAGCTCATCAAACTCTAATTCTTATAGAAGCCAAATATAATTCTGATCAAAAGCAAAGCTTCTGCTAAAATTCTAGTAGCAATGAAAATGTGAAAGGATTCCTAAAAACAAACCAAACACTACATTCTTTACATTTTCCCAAACCAGAGTAATAGCTGGTTTTGCCCACATTTGAGCATCTACGTTATGAAAAAAAGCATAATCGTGTCCTGATCTGTTAAACAATTTCTCTTCCTCTGACTCCCTTTTTTCCCTCTCCTAGTTTTGCTCCTATGAGGCATTTCCTGCCCTTACTGGTTCTTAAATTTCAGTATTAAGATACCGCATTAACATTATTGGGGATTTTGCAACAGTGTAAAATACAATAAAAAAAATCTATTTTCAGATTCTATAAGCAAGAATATCAAACTTTTGTATAGAAGAAAATAAAAATTCTGTGTATTTGCTTCAAAAGAATTACTGGTGTGTGTTCTAAAACAACATTGCTTACCTCTACTAATTTTAAGTGATTCACACGGCCTTTTTTCTCTTTTCCCTTAATGGACCTTTCTTTGCTAAGTATTGGAAGTCTGCTTCTTTTCTTCGCAAAACCTCATCTAGCTAGCTTTTGCAACTCTGTCCTTTGAGAATACTGCAGAATGAAATAAAGAAGTTGGGGTAGGGCTTCCCTGGTGGCGCAGCGGTTGAGAGTCCGCCTGCCGATGCAGGGGACACGGGTTCGTGCCCCCGTCCGGGAAGATCCCACATGCCGTGGAGTGGCTAGGCCCGTGAGCCATGGCTGCTGAGCCTGCCCAGAGCCTGTGCTCCGCAACGGGAGAGGCCACTGCAGTGAGATGCCCGCGTACCCCAAAAAAAAAAAAAAAAAAAGATAAGAAAGAAGTTGGGGTAATGGAGGGGAGATTTAGACAGAAGGAAGTGGCGAGTTCTCATTGTTCTGTGGTAGCTGAAGTAAATGTCGATCTCATTATGCTTGATTTCATTTATTTCTTGTTTCAAGAGTTTACAAAAAGTTGACTTTCTTCTCCTGAACAAGAAGCATGTTATGGTCACGTGAATAGCTAACAACAGTCATTTGTTTTAATATCAACATTTCCCTGGGTGGTTAGAAAGCTGGTGAGGTTATGACTTCTATCTATCAATCAATTTAAAATTACAATATTAGCATTTCCTAGAAACTATACTATTACATATTTCTCCACTGCAAACTTCTGGAGAATATAATCCCTTTATCACAATTGTCATATTTTAAAAGTGATTATTTAAAAATAGGTTCTAATATGCAAAACATATAAGACTAACAAATTATAATCAGAAGATATATAGGGAAAAAGACTTATTTTCTGTATCTGAATCTGGAATTAACACTCATACTTTATTTTCCACGTAGCACTAAATAGAGTTTATAGGAGGTTCAAACTAACATGTGTGACTTATAGATGTTTATATCACAGGGAGGGGGAAAGTCCTTTTCAGTAGCAGAGATTAGAAAAGCTGGACTCCAGTTTCCACACTGTGACAAACTCAGTGGATGACTTGAAGCAAGCTTCCATCTCCTTTTGGGTCTCAGATTCCTCAACTGCAAAATAAGAGTACTCCCAACTTCAGCATTTTATGTTTCTATAATATAACCAGATATGAAAGTATCCTGGACAGCACAAGAAAAAGAATCTGTTTATCATGAGTAGCACTTTAAAATGTGTCTCACGGTTTGTTTAGAAAAATCACAGTTCAGCTGAGTTTACCATCTTTAAGGAAAAAAGAAACAAATTTTTTTTTACTTAAATTTTTTTCTCCTTAATATAATGAACATTCTTTAGCACTAACATTATCTATTGATGACAACCATGGTCCGCTTACTTCTAGCAAGCCTCTTTAACAATGACTTATAATTTAAATCCATTACCTGCTGTGAATGCTCCAAGTAAACACTGATTTGGGGGGTTACAAGTAACATGGACATATGGATTAAGTCAATTCAGCCTATGCTTTGTCTACATTGCTTTTATTTATTTATTATTACTATTTTTTGCTGTACGCGGGCCTCTCACTGCTGTGGCCTCTCCCGTTGCGGAGCACAGGCTCTGGACGCGCAGGCTCAGCGGCCATGGCTCATGGGCCCAGCCACTCCGCGGCATGTGGGATCCTGCCAGACTGGGGCACGAACCTGTATCCCCTGCATCAGCAGGCGGACTCTCAACCACTGCGCCACCAGGGAAGCCCCATTGCTTTTATTTTTTTGTTTTAAGTGCTTGCACTATCACAATCACCCTACTGGCATTTAAAATCACTAAATAAAAAATACTATCAGTCATTTTACTTTTAACTTGAATTTAAAAAAACAAAAAAAAGTTAAAAAAAACCCCAACAACTCCAGAAAACAAGCCTTAAATGTATGTCTGGGGTGTGTGTGTATGTGAATCTGAGTTTAGTATTATTATTGATATGTAAAAACCACAGCATTCCCTTACATAAAACAGGAGACCCAAAAAAGACTAAAAACTGCATGGAAGATTCCATTGGATTCTTTGTTTGGGGGCATATAAAGAGAATTTCCTTTCCTTTGTCCATATAGTTCATGTCTTAGTATAATCCTATAAAAAAAGGATAGTTTCATCCAAAACATCAGAGAACAGAAAGGCATAGGATAAGAAAAAAACACCTATAATGATGATTATTTGTTCAGAGTTTCTTAAAAAGAAATCCTTGCTTTTGGAGATTGTGGGTCCCCCAAAATTATATGTAATACTTTGTAGGTGTGTCATAGTATTCATTTTAATCAGGTTCTCAAAAATATACATTACTAAAAAGACTGCTAACTACTGACCTAGTCCAAATGAGAAGTCTTCATCCCAGAGTGAGGAGCAATTGCCACAGTTCCACCACTAGCCAGTGTCACCGACACCCCCAGAACTGAGCTCCTTAAGGCCACATGCTAGTGCACACTCAAATAAATGATGTTTCTTAAACTTGTGTCATCTTGTGAAGAAACTCTGCCTGCTTTATTTGCTGCAAATGTAAAGTCAGCTTATAGAGATGTCAAGGATACCTTTTCAATTTTAACATTTATTGCCATTAAAATTGCTGTTTTAAGATTGGTCCGACAGGTATTAGCCCCAGAGAAAGAATCCCTCAAAACAAAACAAAGCTCTCTTGTACATGCATGACGAAGTCTTAGTTTCATTCCTACTTACAGAAGCAAAAATTACCTATGTTTAACACTCAACGTTGGAACATCCACTAGAATTTAAAATAGGCAAAGAAGCTCATCTAGTATAGCAGACCTACTTGGAAAGATCATTCTTCTTGAAAGGTTTTCCACCAGTTTTACTAAAATGAGGTGTATTAATATAATCACATAAATAAATTATAATTAGTAAAGAGTGTTGCATATCAAGCCTGTACTAACTCGTTTCTTTTTACCAGTTTTTCCTGTTATGTGTTTTTATGAAAATTATTTTTATTTTAGAAAGTGTTGCCAAGATGTACTGGTTATTAAATATGCCTTCAGAGCTAAATCTGCAGGAACATTGCACATTTCCCATATCTTTTTCTGACTCACTTTCCTTCCGGAGAGAGAGAAGAAAGAGTTCCAAGGAGAGAAAGAAATAGCTGTAAGTAATATGTTCATGGCCATTTAATGATAGATGGTTTAACATGCTTGATTGCTACTGGTGAATCAGAGCTAAAAAATGACAGTAGCATCTATCATGTTATGTTATATCGCGCAAAATTTTAACAAAGGCACGACAAGCTACACTGCTGACTTCAGCAATGTGCTATATTTGGTAGCAGTTGATAGATGTCTACAAAAGAAAATCACTAAATTGTAAAAATGCCTTAATTTTTAAGCTGAGCCGAGAATATAATGGCCGGGGAGCATTAAACTGATAGGATCACACTGCACAGTCCTAACAGTGACTTTAAACTCAGTAATTCTTTATCAGGACCCAGAATACCAGACAGTGCAACAATAATATTCTTGATTCTGCACTTAAATTTCAATAAGCAAATAAAGTATTCCCTCCTGTATAAAGAGTAAAATATAGGTTTCCTATTCAGGGTTGTGACTGCACTTTCAATGTCTCCAGCATAAACCAATGTGTGACAAAAGAGAGAGAAATTATATCTCAGTGACCTTGGCAGACATAACACCCTTTGGTCTTCAAAGTGCAAACTAAACAAAGCCCCTTAAAAGACTATGATAAACTGCATTGGGAAAATAAGTAAATAAAAATAATAGAGGCCAAAATGCTGAAAAAGGAAAAAAGTTATTAGTCTATATGTCCCTTTATAATTTATAGTAATGATATTTTCCTCATTAAAATGCAATAGTCGTAGATTAAATAAATTGGGGATAGAAAGGACCGATTAAATCATTGTGTCTAACACATGCCAAGGGAGGGCAGATTTCCCTAGACTAAGGAACAAAGAAGAAAGAAAAATATAAAAATAGGTATTATATCAACATCTGCAAAAGGTTCATTGAGCATAAAGTCTCCGGATATTAAGTAGAGGTATTAGCATCAGTAGTAAGCAAGATTAGATACTGACACAAAGTACCCGTATCAATGGCATCCTGTGCTGTATTTTCAGCCTTCTAGTATATTTACCTGGAGCTTTTCTAAATCAAAGCTTCTCTGTTTACACTCACGTCGAAAATGTAATATGAGTTTCAATGAATTTTTAATTTTGTTCAATCTTGCATTTGTTCAACCAAAAACAATTTAAAGAGGACCAAAGCTATCAGCCTCTCAGTGAGCAACACCTTACTAGGGAGTTCTTGAATCTGCCATAAAAATCAACAGTGTGCATCTAATAGTTTTCTTTTAATTTGAGCAGTGAAAAGTGAATAATCACATCAAATATCCTTCAGGGCCTCTTTGGTTTCCAGATTAAACATGTAATGTGACCTGTCATCTTGCCACATTCTTTGCATTTCCATTTTAAATAATCATAAATAAGAAAACCTTGCTACTCTTTGGCATGACACAGTTGTTTGATCCAGATGCATTTCAAAGTCTTAGAAATTGCACTCATTCCTTCTTTAGAGTCCTTGTTCATCTCAAAGGTTTTCAGCTGAAAGATTCTTTATTGTATTCAAATCTTGTCCCATATGAATTGTTTTGATTACTCAGTTTATGAAGAGTCTTAGAAATTGAATTAGGTCCACAGCAAAAAACACCAACTGTTTTCCTGGAAAGACAAAGGGAGAAAATGGAAAATCAGGTGGAAAATTAGGCAGAACATGACAAGAAGTATCTTTTAGTAGCATGTTTAAGGTGTTAACAAAGTTAATTTCTTGCTGCTTTGCATACAAATAATTTTCCAATTATTACCAAATATAAGTGACCACCGGGAAGATATTTTATTTACCTCATGCTTTTCATGCCAGAGATCAAGATCATTCAAAGAATATAACTATGAGCACATATTTGTTTATCAGAGTGAGCAGGCTGCATGTCATTGATGAGGGCAGAAACGAAGTCAAGAGCTGCAACTGACAGATGTCAACTGCTCCACATTTGACATATGAATAGATTTCTATCCACCCTGGACCATATCATTTCTTCTCATGCTAAATGTCTTACATACATCTTTTCCCCCTAAAGATCCCATGGATTTTCATGGGAAGTGGTGAATAAGCATAAAGAAAGGAAAGCTATTACCAATTTGAAAGGATAATTTTAAGTGACTAATTTATATCTACATTATAACAAAAAGCATACTAATCTGGATTCATTTTCTTTCTTATTTATGTGCCACAGTAATTGTAACAAATACCAAGCAGGTTTTATTATTTGCTATATTTGCTAACATAAAATTTTGGTAGAGAAATTATACATATCCCTAACAAATAGAATAAATAAATCCCACAAATTGATTACTATTTCACATTGATTTCCTGCAAAGTTTGTTGATTTGCATTGAATTCTTCCTATGATATCAAAATGATTGACAATTCTTATCATATCTTGGACAAATCCAGTATGTATTCATTATCTGAGAATAATTGTTGCTGAAAAAAAAGACAGTGAATCCATTTAAATGGGTACCAAAATTTATAATAAATACTGAAACAAGTTTTATTAAAACTTTTCACCTTGAAAAATGAAACAAAGAGCTACAAAATAAACTTTTACTTGCCGCCATGATGGAGAAATAGGGACTAGATTTACCCTCTTGAATTAAAAAACTAGGACAAAACAAATAACATATGAAACAATTACTTGCAGATACTGGACAACAGGGAGCACAGAACTGTCATCCCTGAGTAAAAAAGAAAAAGCAAGGTGAGCCCGACAAGAAGCTATCTCTTCTTGTGGCCTGAAGGCAATTTAGAAGCTGTAGCACAGAAGAGGGGAAACTCATGCAGAGACTGGTGGTCTTACTGAGTTAAAGAGAAAAAGAATGGAGTTCACAAAGGCCAAAGCAGCTAGAACTTGATATCAAAAGAAAGAAGCTCTGGAGATCTGCAGAGGAGTATCCTCAAGTCTTTGGCTCAGTACTAATCTCCTCATATGTGAGAGGAAACCATGTGAAACTGGGTAGAGAACTACCAAGGAGCAGTAGGTCAAACAACTCTGAGTTTACGCAAGGCTGTCAACAATTCATATTCCCACAAGCCAAAATGGAAAGCTCTAAATATAATACATTGGCAATGGATAGTGTACTAAAGTTATTACCTTATTTGCAAAGGGTAGGGAGGATGTTGGTAAAATTAGCTCAGATTGGAGGATGCTCTGGACTCATACTAACAAAGCTTAAATGCAAGCCTTGAAAAGATCAAACTGATGGACTTCCCTGGTAATGCAGTGGTTAAGAATCCACCTGCCAATGCAGGGGACACGGGTTTGAGCCTTGATCTGGGAAGATCCCACATGCTACAGAGCAACTAAGCCCGTGCACCACAACTACTGAGCCTGCGCTCTAGAGCCCGCAAGCCACAACTACTGAGCCCGTATGCCACAAGTACTGAAGCCCATGTGCCTAGAGCCCGTGCTCCACAACAAGAGAAGCCACTGCAACGAGAAGCCTGCACACCACAACGAAGAGTAGCCCCCACTCGCCGCAACTAGAGAAAGCCCACATGCAGCAACAAAGACACAATGCAGCCAAAATAAATAATAAAATAAATAAATTAAAAAAGAAGAAAGATCAAACTGAACCCAAGTAACAAAACTGTATGCCAAAAACAATTCCAACGATATTGAAAAGAATAAATAAAAATTTGGAGTTTGACGTCTAAACTTCAAAGTGTATAGCATTTAATAAAAAATTATCAGGAATGTGTATAGCAAGAAATTATGAACTATAACTAGAAGTGTTATGGGTTAAATTTTGTCCCCTTCCCCAAATTCATAGGTTGAAACTCTAACTCTCAGTATCCCAGAATGTGGCTGTATTTGGATATAGGGCCTTTAAAGATGTAATTAAGATAGAGCGATGTTTTTAGGGTGGACCCTCTTGCAATCTGACTAGTGTCTTTTTAAGAGGAGGAAATTAAAGAGACACTAGAGATGCACATGCACAGATAAAAGACTGACCATGTGAAGAGGCAGCAAGAGGGTAGTCATCTGAAAGCCAAGGAGAGGTCTCAGAAATCACCCTGCTGGCATCTTAATCTTAGACTTCTAGCCTTCAGAATAGTGAGACTATAAACTTCTATTGTTTAATCCATCAAGCCTGTGGGACTTTATTATGGAAGTCCTAGCAAACTAATACAAGAAGAAAGATAAGTCAATAGAAACGGGATGAGAATGACAGAAATGATGGAATTATTAGATAAGGTCACTGAAACAGTGATGAGAAACATGTTTCATATGTTCAAAGAAAAACATTGACATGATGAGAAAGGAAAAAAGATTCTTTAAAGGCCTGAGTGGAAATGCTAGAGATTAAATGCAATATTTAAAATGATAAATATACTGATGGGTTAACAGAAGAATAGGCACTGAAGAAGAAAGGATAAGTAAACTTGAAGATATAGCAGTAGAATATATCCAAATGGAAGCACACAGAGAACAAAAATTGGGCAGAAAAGTGAAAAGAGCCTCAAGGTCCTGTGGGACAATACCAACCAGTCTTTCATATATGTAATTCTAGTCTCAGCAAAAAAGAAGACAGAGGGAAAGAAACACAGAAAAGACAAGATAAAAACACTGGAGTATCAGTGAGCTGCAAGATGGTATCAAATGACCTCAAGATCATGTATTTGGAATAAAAGAAGAAGGGAGAAGAGAAAAAAATATTTGAAGAAATAATTACCAAAATTTTTACAAATTTGATGAAAACAAACAGCTCCAACGATCTAATGAACTCCAAGGAGAATATGCATGCGCGTACGCGCACACACACACACACACACACACACACACACACACACATAACAACATAAGGCAAGTTATAATAAAACTCTGGAAACCAGTTACAAAGAGAATAACACAAAAGCAGCTGACAGAGGGTGGGGGCAGAGACACACTACAAATAATAAATAGATGAAGCATAGACTTCTTGTCACAAACTATTTAAGTCTGAAGGCAATGAAGTGAAATCTTCAAAGTGCTGAAAGACAAAAAAAAAAAAGCAACTATTCTATATCAAGCAAATTCTATACCAAACAAAAATAACTTTCAAAATTTAAGATAGAATGTAAACTTTTCGAACAAAAGGTGAGGGAATTCATTACCAGCAAACCAGCACTATAAGGTATATAAAGGGAATTCGTCGGAAAGGAGCATGAAGTCAGATAGAAATGTGAATCTTCCCAGAACTGTGAAGGACACCAAAATGGTGAATCTGTGAATAAATACACTGTATATTTTGTCTAATTTTTAATCTCTTTAAAATATAATTGATATTTAAAACAAAAGTAATAACAATACATTATGGAGTTTATAGTATATGTAGAAGAAAGATGAACAAGAACAACAGCCAAAGAGATGCAGGGTGAATGCAAGTACATGAGGTAGTATAATATTATTTGAAGCACACTGTGATAAGCTAATGGTGTACACCGTAAACCTAGAGCGATGCTTCTCCAATTTCAGCTTCATCAGCATCACCTAAGGCACTTCACAGACCACAGATAGCAAGGCCCTATTCCTAGATCCACTGATTCAGCAGATCTTGGATATGGCTCCAAGAATTTGGTTTTCCATCAAGTTGCCAGGTGATGCTAGTCCAAGGATTGCAACTTGGCAAACAATTCCTTAAAGAAATAACTGAAGTCAAACAGGGAGGTATGGCTCATATGTCACTTTAGAAGAAAAAGATGGAATCATAAAATAACACTAATTGAAAAGAAAGCAAAGAAAGAAAGAAAAAAGGAAAGAACAAATGAGATAAGTAGAAAGCAACAGTAAACTGTTGGACTGTAACTCAATCCATAGGAGCCAAGAAAACTCAATGAGGAAAAGATACTCTCTCCAATTCATGATGGTGGGAAAACTGGATATTCACATGCAAAAGAATGGAACTGCACCCTATCTCACTCTACTCCCAAAAATTAACTCTAAAGGAAATAAAGACTTGAATATAAGACCTTAAACCATCAAATCTTAGAAGAAAACACAGAGGAAAAAACTCTTTGACAGTGGTCTTGGCAATAATTTCATGAAACTGACACCAAAAATACAAGCAACAAAAGCAAAAATAAATAAGTGGGACTACATCAAATTAAGAAGCTTCTGCGTGGCAAAAGAAATGATCAACAAAATGAAAAGGCAAGCTAGGGAATGGGAGAACATATTTGCAAAATACATATCTGATAAGGGGTTAATATGTAAAATATATAAGAAATTCATATAACTCGCTAGCAAAGAAATAATAATAATCCAATAAGAGGAAACTCTTTCAGCTTTTCACCATTGAGTAAGATATTAGCTGTGGGCTTATTATATAGGGCCTTTATTATGTTGAGGTATGTTCCCTCTATACCCACTTTTTGGAGAGTTTTTATCATAAATGGATGCTGAATTTTGTCAAAAGCTTTTTCTGCATCTATTGAGGTGACCATATAATTTTTATTCTTCAATCTTTTAATGCAGTGTATCACTACATTATAAAAAATAAAGATACTGAACCATCCTTGCAATGCCTTGGTTAAATACCACTTGATGATGGTGTATGTTCCTTTTAATGTATTGTTGAATTTGCTTTCTGGTGCTGGGAAAACTGTACAGTTACATGTAAAA